GGCAGGGTGCCACTGTGTTTTGATTTATTACATGGGCAATATCTTAGCAAACTGAAAAGATAAGAGGCTCTTATTTTATATTCTAGCTTGTTAACATTAGTAATTTGAGTTTCTAATTCATTCAAACTATAGACTTAGTATTTTGACTTCATAAACATTTAATTTGAACCAGTGCTGTATTCAACATACCACGTGACACACACAAATCGATGTTTATCTGCATTTTTTTTAATATTGACTTTTATGTTATGAAACTGAGTAACATATATTACTAAAACTTGAATTATAAGCTACAATTTGATACCAAACATATTAACATAAATTCATAAAATAGAAGTTCAATAAAATTTTGAATGTGAGTCAACAAATGAGATGACACGGCCTTTCACCAGTGACCCATTTCAAATGGGTTAAAATGGGAAGAAAATGGTGTAGGTAATGAATTGCATATGATAAGTAGATATTAACCCGTCAATAAAACTACAAGTAAGAATGATAAAAAATACAGTAATAAAGCCAAAATCCAACAAGACAGTGAACAGAAATAACATGGAAGTCTAATCTAAAACTACAGTGAAATCGAAAAGAACAAAAACAAGTTAAAGGTAATCAAACGGTACAGAACAAAGGATAACCTTAGAATGAAAAGAAAAACGAAACTGAAAAATAAATTACAGATAATAATATTAACAATAGAATTGTCAAACGTCTTATCTTTCCAAAGTCAGCAGACTATATGGCAAATGGTGGACCATGAAGCACCAAGGCGAGGTCAGACAAAAGTTCGGACATTAGACGATCAAACTCCCGACGAAATATGGTGGAATCTGTTCTGTGGAATAATGTGAATGAAAGCCATTATAAACATGCAAAAAGAACATAGAATCTCCATATTGGGAATGAAGATGACATAATTGAAATAAAGAACCAAATACTTGAAATCTGGTAGTGGAAAATGGCTTTCAAGATTGCCGTCCTCCAGAACAGGGTTGGCTTCTACAGAATGAATTGTGGGTGAGAACCTTTTTAACATTCTCAAAGAGGATAAACACAGATAAAAAAATCCACGCCAGGTCGCCCACACTCGCGACCTGTGAGGTAGCGCTAGTCGTAGGCATGACTTCCAAAGCGTTAACTTTAGCTTCGGAATGCAACTGGAATAAGGTTGGATAAGTTATGATGAGTAAAGACCACTTCGTGAGTATACTAAATATGAACATGAAACAGTAAAGAAGGACAAAACAAAAACGTCAGATTACAAGCGCTGCCAAACTGGATGTGATAGTTTGGTAGAAGAGCATAGAGAGTGTCACATTCGTCACGTGAGTGTACTATTATCCTTGAGGTGGAGAAGTGACGCATGATGATTTACATGAGAAACACGTTGGAATCATTTGATTCCAATAGGGGGATGTGGAAAGCTTGTGGCATGCGTAATAAAAAAGTTCACATATAGAGAGCAGCAATGAACAAGAATAGCTAATATTTTGAGTGGAGGGAAGCACCGTATTGGAAGTGTTGTTAGTTGAAGTTATGCAACTATACATCATATATTGAAAGGTTTTACCTAAACCAACAAAGCATTTAAATATTTATACTACCCAAATAAAAAATATGATTTGTATGGGGTCCAACCTTTTGTTAGCAATGTGGAATTTATATTTCTTTATCCAAAATAAAATGTTAACCTTATATCCAAACAGCTTTCTATACCTTAAACATTTTCAGTTAACTCATCAAATTGATTAACCATGTGATCTCTTTGTACTCATTTAAAGTCTTTATAGATTTAATACTTCTATCTTTTAGAATAGTGTGTATATATCTTCACAAAATTTGGCAGTCTTTCACATACAACAAATCATATTTTTCAGCAAACATACTGAGTATTTGTTTTGAATAGTCCGTGTGAATAGTAATTTTCATATTAAAATTAAAAATACTTTTAGTCATCTCAAATTTCTTTTCTGTAATCTCTAAAACCTCCTACATGCAGTTCAAACGTTTTTTCAGTAAAACTTTATAGTTTATCTGTTATTTTCTTTACCCTATCTCAAAACAGGATCGGTCAATTGGACCGACCTCATAACAATAAAAAAAAAAAAAAAAA